CTGAATGTAACTCATGATGATTCTCTCAAAGCACTTCATCACTATTGGTGTCAGTGCAACGGGCCGGAAGTCATTGAGGCAGGCTGCTTTGCTGTTTTTAGGCAGTGGAAGGTAGATGGTGATAAAAGATTGTTAGGCTGCAATAATTAGGTCAACCGGAACTGGCACTGTTTTATAATGTACTACTGAGGTATAAATATATGCCTCCTAACTACTATTTACTCTTAATCTATTGCTAAAGAAAATACAGTGTAAACATAATTTATCATTATTTGCACTTATATGTTGCTTTTTCCAGTTAACTGCAAAAAAGAAAATAATATCATTGTTCAGTTAAAGACAGCTCAGTGTTGATTAAAAATGTAAAGTTCATTAATTATTATGCAATGAATTCAATTAGGCAATATAGAACTGTTTACTAGTATGAAACCCTATTAACAAACAAACCTTTGTAAAAGAATGGTCAGCACATTTATTTGTACGGTAACAGCCTCCACAGCTGTGCTGAATTAAAGTTCAGTGTTTGTCATGTGTAGCCTACAACCCTGAAACATCATGTTGCTTATTGTATACTGTTTCACACGCTATTCTTAAAAAAAATAGAAGGCAGTATGCACTGTGTACTGGGCAGTAAGTAGTAAGCTAGTGTGCCATTTTGAACACAGCTGTGGGATTGTGAAATATCAGCGGATGATGTTGATAATTAATGTGATTCTGTACACCTGTGGTTCCTCTGCTTGGACACCTGTGTGTGAATCTGAGGAGAACTGACCTCATAATTCCACTAAAAATCCAGTGATTATTAGTCATTGAGCAAAAATGATCTTGAAGAGTGAAGAAAAGATATCCTATAGCATACACAGATGACACTTGCTTTGATATTTTGTCAACTATGCAATTAAATTAATACTCATATTCACTTTTTCAGGCCACTATGAAGGCTTTTAAGGTGGGGTAAGCGATTTCTGGTAGCCAATGTTGACATTTGAAATCACCAAAACAAACACGCCCCTACCCCAAAAGGGTCTCGCCCCTATTTTGATAGCTTCGCCCCACACATACGTACGCAACCCAGGCAACGATTAGTTCTGTGAAACAAAGCAAAACCAATGTTAAACCGTGTTAGGGGTGATCTGTGTGGTCGCTCTTCCAAACCGCTTGAACCCGAGTCTCAAAACGCGCGCAAATATTAAGCTCTCTGTGAAGTATTGTGTTTGAATGGACAAATTCACACAAAAATTATGTCAAATTGTCACTTTAATTTATACAGTCAAATATGCAATGTTATTTTACATTTGATTTATTCAATTTCTGTACCTAAAAACTATGTTAGACCTACCTAAAAAACCTGAAAAGCACTGTTCATTTTATTTGTATCTTTTTTCACTGTTTATTTATTTGTGCTGTTGCTTGTAGTTAGATTATTTGTTCTTATTTTCTTTATTTTTATTTGACAATATCGTTTTTCCCCTAAACATTGCACATACTGATCCGTACCGAAACCGTGACTCTAAAACCGTGATACAAACAGAACCGTGAGTAAGTTGAACCGTTGCACCCCTAGTGTCTACACCGGACACGAATGGCACGGTGCGACAAAATAGTATGGAACTCATTATAATCAGTGATACGGTCTACACCATATAGATATATATACATATCTATGGTCTACACTGGATGCGGCGCGGCATGACAAATCCCTGACAGAAAACTGCTGCTGCGTTCTATTCATGACGTATTGACACAAATTTCAAATGATTTTCAATGGTCGCTTTGTCGCGTTGTCCAGTGTGCTAGACAGACTTTAGCTGTTCCGGCGCAGACACGGTGTTGCTCACCTATCGAGAAAAAACAAAGCAACCTCTGCATCTGATCACAGGCCTTCCGCTCCTTGAGTTCTCTCCAGCGCTGGAAAGCTGATCCGATATTTACACGGGTCCTACTTCTTGCCTTATTGCCTTAAGCCTTCTTTTGTTCCGCAGACGTTTTCCTCTTTTGTTTTTTATCCGCCATCTCTATCTTTCTGTCGCTCGGCTCGCGAATGTCCGTACCGTGCACTGAACGCTCTCTCCTCCACATCATGAGTAGACACGCCCCTTACTGCTGATTGGCTACAAGTTTGTTTTGCTAGTCGGCCGAATCAGTTTTCTAAAGCGTTTTTGAAAAATCGCTTACCCCACCTTTAAATGTGTGTGAAATATTGTAAACTAGGGCTAGGCAAATAAATACATTCTTTAGTCTTAAATGAGTATGTTCTAATGTAAATGAAACATTTAAATTTTGATGGCAACACTGCAAACAGCTCAAATATTATATATAAAAATAAAAAGGCTGTATTTGTGTGATGGTGTTTATAAAATGCCTGTATTAAGACAGTTTGCATCATATATTCATTATTCATCAAAGTCGTTGTTTTATGTGCATGAGGGACATGCTGTTTTATAAACTGACCAATAACAGCACAGCCAACCCAGCACACGTACAGCACATGAACACCGCGGATGTCTTTACTGTACCTTGTCGATTCTCGTTCAGCTGTTTCTCGAACTCCTCGAAGTCTGACATGCTCAGACCTGACGGATCAGGCGCTCATATGAGCAATAATAGCTAATAAACACAGCCGCTGCACTGATGACCAACACTATAGAGCTCCCGCTTTCTCATCTGATAACGGTGACGCGGTGGCACCATGTGAAGAAAACGTGTTTGTTTAGGAAATCAATCCCTTTTGATACAAGACAGAGAAGCTTCTCTCTGCTGCAGGTCTGGCGTGTGGGCGGGTCTAACCGCTGTGGGCGTGTAGTGCGGTTATTCTAATTGGCCGAGACTGCTGTCAGTTACAGAGACAAGCGGGTACGCGTCTTGCGATTGGTCTACAATTTTGTTACTTCGAAGCAGGAAGAAACAAATAATTATAGCTGTTTAACTACACAATCTGAGGTTTCAAAATTACGTAGAGAGTATAACTCATATCTGGACATGCTATTAATGTTCCCATAGCAATTAATCGCATAAACTGTTTTCTAGAGGTTTAGTCCTCAGTTAAACATAAATAAATGTGAGCTAATTACTATAAAAGGTTACATAACACCTTCTATTTGTAATAGTAAAGCTAAATCTGAGGATAAATATTTAGGCATGTATAGCCCAAAATAAACTTGTAGTTTCAACCCCAAATTGAATACCTTAAAAAGATGTCTCTTGCATGGTCGTTATTAATTCCAAAGCAAAAATTCTACAATAATCACCAATACTCCATCTGGAACAAGCAAAACATTTTGTGTTTAAAAGACAGTAAACATTCTGCTATATTAAACATTGGTTAGTGAAAAAAAGGTGCTTCAAATATTTACGATATCACAGTATTCTTTATTTCTGGCTAAATTTACTTTTCCAGTTGCTTGTATACAAATACAAGAGGCTGCAAAATTACCAAACCCCTCAAATGCTTCTATAAAACTCAGGTTGGAATATTTTGTTCCATCTTCAATCATATAACATTAGAATTATTAGATCTCTTTCCAAAAAAAACAATTGCATGTTTTATCAGTAACTAATCATGTAAAGGGAATCATTGCATTAAGAGGAAAAACATATTTTAGAAAATCTTCAAATTATACAGAGAGTGACATTTAAAAAAAAAAAAAATCGCACATGATCAAAGCTGACTGCTACACCTTTTCTTCCAATGAATCAAGAACTTGTACTTAAGAACATGCACAATGAAAAAAAAAATGAAAGGTGAAAATTGATGTAGGATTTACTTTCAATTTTTATTTTCATTCAGAAATTGCAAGTACATTTCACAATTAATTACAAAGAAACAGCAATAACACATTGAATTAAAAGTGAAAATCTGAGATAGAAAGAGTGAAATTGTATTTTTGTTGTAAAACATACTCCAGTAATCTTTTTTTAATTACAACAAATTTTTCACAGTATAATTCATCACGAGTGGTGAGACTGCATCCCTTAAAGACAGGAATAGAGTCACATGATTAAACTGGTTGCTGGTGTTTTGGTGATAAATGAAAAGTCTTGCGATGTGATCTGTAAAAATGTAGACACGTCAGATTGTAGATTTTCTTCAGTTGTTCTCCAAATTAATATTAGGTCAACTTTAAGCTTTTGTACATATAATGGGTATTACAAAAAATTTTTTACACAATAAAATACCGTATTTCATTAACTGATGTAATGTTAATAAACCAACATATTGAAGTACTAACATCTGTTTTGAACCATTGTAATGCACTGATAAGATAACCACCAAAAACTGGTGGTGACGAGAAAGTCACACGATGAACCAAAGCTCATCACAAACAGCTTTTCTACGAGCTGAGGAGGGCAATACTTATAAATAGAAGGTGCACAGTGTCATTCACGCAAACACTAAATACCATCATGGTGACACACATGATACTGAAATAATGCAATAAACATTAATTTAACAACATTAGATGTAAGATTAAAACCTAATGTACACAACTGATAAGAAAAAACTACGAAGAAACATCAAATCAGAAACAAAAAAACCCCATCAATTTGAAGTGTCATGCAGGGAATTCTGGGAGTGTCAATTTACGGTTTGTCACTGTAAATTATACAATGACTCTTTCTTTTTCACTTCCAAAAACCGTATTTTTAACAGTACTTTACTGTAGAATTACATTAAATGTAATTACATTTATTCACCGAATATAGTATGGAAACTTACTGTTAACCAGTTAACAGGTTTTTACTGTAGCATTTTTACAGTCTTTTACTGTTAAAATCACAATCATTTTTTACAGTGCAGTTTATATTAAAGTCAGTCTCAGTTTAAAGACTCAAGCCATTTTAAGCTTTACTTAACTCAACAACAGTTTCTCAGGCGGCTATGTATACAACATAGGACGGCTTCAGCTGTGAGCTATTAAAAGCTCTTAAACCCTGCAGTATTGCCATTTGTGTGTGTGTGTGTGTGTGTGTGTGTGTGTGTGTGTGTGTGTGCTGTTCAGAGTTGTGCAGTGAGCAGAAACACTAGTGAAGACGATCACAACCACTGATGCCTAATGCTAAAAAACAGACGTTTACATCAGAGGTGCTTATAGACTCATACTAGTGGTAAGTGATGAAGAATAAATAACATTTGAGCACTGTAGTTGTGTGGACTGTGTCTAGTTGTGTAGATTTGAAGTTCTGTGTTTAAAATTTGTTATTTCAGTGTTGTTAATAATGACTGAAAATTATTTACGTATGTATTTATATATTTTTTTGGTTGTTTGTTTCTTAGTCAGTCCTGCAATAATCCATATTTAGGATGAGAATCGTTGGCTAATTATAGGCTGGAATATATTTAGAGCTTTTCTCAAATGGGTTGAACATGAAGCCATGAAGCTATCCTGATAGACTTCACCAGCAAAGGACCAGTTTAAACCAGCAAAGGACCAGCATAAACCAGCAAAGGACCAGCTTAAACCAGCATCCCAGCGTCAAAACATACCCAACCAGCATATGCTGTTTTTTTTTAGGGTTTCTTTACAAGTGGTATTTTTTTATATGAAACATAGACTTTTAAAATATATATATTATAGGTAACCTACAAATGTGCTTTTCTAAATAAACTAGTTTTATTAAGTTAAAAACATTTTTTAATTTGACTGAATCATCACTACATTACTGATCTACAAAGGCAAAATGCATTAACAGTTCAGTTATAATCAGGTCTCATAATCTGTCCTGTTATAAACAGGTTTAGCTCATCTAAACTCAGATTTTCATATAAGTCAATCAATGGCTTTATAAATATCTTTAATTCATGTTAATGTATATTCTTTTTTCCATTGTTTAAGGTCTAACGTTACTGAAACCATGGGTATAAGTGACATTATGGTAAGAAACTGTGTTTTAAAAGCAATTTGAAGCAAATTGTTCAAAATTATATGACCCATTGAAAAATCATTCACTCTTATGTTGTTCTAAACCAGTATGACTTTCTTTTTGTGGAACACAATACAAGTCAAATGAACTACCTTGCTGGTGTTTTTCGACCTTTTTGGAGCTTTGGAGTCCCTGGTTGTAATAAAATTCCATTCTGTGGAAAAGAGTAGGACATTCATCAAAAATATATTATAAGTCATACTGGTTTGGAATGACATTGGGGTGAGCAGATGATTTCTCTGTAACCATTCCATTAAGCAACTTGATTTTTCCTTATTCAGAGGCTGGATGTGACCTCAGTTTGGCTTGTGCTCTCAGTGGTGGCGGTCGCAGCTGGTGTCTTTTATCTCTACAGTCTGATACTCAGGCATTTATCCAAGACAACTGTCAGGAACAAAGTGGTGCTAATTACGGATTCGCTGTCAACACTTGGAAATGGTGCTGCTCTTTCAGAACAACTGGATCATTCCTGGCATGCAGTACCTTTGCAATTCTGTAACTTAAAAATGAATATGCCTATACTGTAAATTAAGGAAGTATTTCTATAAAAGGGTAAATGAGACTTTTTAGAAATATGATCTTAACTTTAATAATTACATCTGGCTTCCCTTACGAAAAAGAAGTTTATTCAAGTGTGCTATTAGTATACTTCTTTTAAACTAAAAATAGGAAAGTATACTTTCAGTCTAATTTTTATGTACTTCTCAGACATGGGCTTTATGTACTTCTCAGAAATATACTTAAAATGACATTTAAGTATACTTGACTTGTACTTAGAAAAAGTCTAAATATATTTGAGCTATACTTGTGCTCCGAGAATGTTTTCATTGTTATACGGTAGGGGGCGCTGTTACACAACTTCTGTACAGAATTTCCACAAAAAAAAACCACAAGAGAAGAAAAAACCAAAACAACAGATGCTTCCACATGTATTCTAACATGATCATCAGACATAAAACAG